ACCATAATTAGAGCAAATCGGCCGATAATCGTTTTGTTGAACGTGATAAGTTTATCACCGAACCCGAAGTATGTTCACCATTATCGTAGTTGGAAAAAATCAGCACGAAATCATTCGACTTAGTCAGTATCTGCTGAATGATTTCCGCTTTGGATGCCATGGACATGCTAGCCACAGGGTTAGACATGGACATCATCTGATGTTTTTTTACTGTTCAGGTTTTATGCTGTGCAAAGAAATTCAACACAAATCCAAATAGAGCGAATCATCCAAACACAGGTCTTCCTTGGAACACGGCCTGAGCTGAGGAACTGGTGGCCTGTCATTCTTCCGTCACATGAGCCAGCTTATCTTACAGAGTGTTGTTTCCAACATCTGTAATGTCCTTTGCTCCAAAAGTTTTAGTCTCTTTTGCACATAGCCACAAGGACCTTAGCTGCCAGTGTCAGGTCACCGAACCGCTTTGTTAACTACATCCTCGTTGTATAGTTCAACTACCCATTGCATGCATGATTGAGCCAACTATCTAGGTCAAAGTGAAGCTAGTTTTGATGCCAGAAAGTAATGCGAGATTAACTGATCATCAGACACGCTCATATCTGTTTCTGTAGATAATTTTGTCTATATTTAGGAGAAGTACCCGCTTCCAGGCTCTTAAGAACAAAATGTGATTATATGTTTTTTCACTGATAGTCCGTGCTTTGTTCCTCGGGCTTTGCATTTAGTGTCGTTGACATTTGAAGAGCATTCCAAGTATAATGCGCCAAGTTTCATTTGTTGAACGGAATTCTGGTAAATTAACTGTAATTTTGTTTATTATATATATACATATATAATACATTAAGATACTCCGCACATTCAGGATGTTTACGTATACAACAGGTGACTCTTCGTACCTACTGTTGCACAGACGAAGCTGAATATCGCCACTTCTAACTTACTTCAGTTTCACACGGTTAATTCATACGGTTTAATTCTAGTAGATGAACAAATGCCGTTGACGGCACAGTGTGATTCCGAACAATGGTGAGAGCCAAAATATACGTAAATGCTATTTTGGATTATTGTAATTTAACTAAGCATGTAACGAACATGAAAAGGGACCAGAGGTTTAAGTATTCTCATTGCTTCATTTTCTAATAAGCAAGCATTTATTTAACCAACCTTTCAGTCCGATTATGAAACTCTTTAACAGTGAAATAAGTCTAGCTTGCTCGAGTGGCAAAAGGTTGTGCGACATCTTATTATCCCTGGTTCCAGTACCTCCAACTAGATGCTTTGACGCACAAGGTTTCTTCAGGTTGATTCAGAGGCTCAGCTATTACAGTAGGTGTGGAATTTCCAGTGCCATAATCCTGGCAGCGCTTGCGACAAAGATAACGAAGTTGAACGTTTGTGGGTCCTTGCATCAGTGGGGAATATGATCTACCCCAATGTCAAGACAGAGTCCTTTGTCTGGAAACTGGGTAACCTTTGAAATGTCAGGTGGCTTAAGCTGGTCTTGACTAGCATGGTGCCACAGAAATTACCGGCTTCTTCCCATGACAGTAATTTTGTCCGTGTGTACGGGCTGGCAGGTGCTATAAACAGACAACTAGCCTATCCGATTTCTACCTAAAATTAGAGATTTGTGAAGCTCAGTTAACACAAGAAAAACAACTGGTTTACGTGAAACACCACGTTTTAACGTCACCTCAGACTGCAGAATTGTGCTGATGATAATTTGTACGATATTTCTTTCTAGAAGGAAGTTTATCACAGATTGGTACTTGTATGGAAACTACTTTATAGATGAAAAGGGTTTGGAGAGGAGGCATTTGTATACAATAATTTACATGGTGTTTTCTGTACCTTGTCGTCATGTTTTCGGCAAGTGTCTACGGTTGCAGGTTGGCGCCTACGTAGTAACCGAATAATGTATTGAGAGGGAGTTCTACCGTGAACAAAATACAAATATATAATACCCCATTTTCTGTCAGGTCTGGTGAGAGTTTTTTAACAGTCATGTAGATGCAGCTTAGTAGCACGACCCATCATGTGTGAACTTCTATCGTAGCATCAGTTGTAAAGCGCGGAATACAGTAATAGGAGTAGGGTAATTCTGGCATACTTCGGAAGAAATAATCTCATCTGGTGACCTCATTATTTTTAAGCTGACGCACTTGTGACGTAACTTCATTTGATCAGCACACAGTAAAAAGCGCGCTTTGAGTCATTATCGACTACAATGTGAACAGTTCTCATAGGCAGCTAAACACTCATACAAAGGCAACTGGACATACCCACAAAAACACAGGCACCTGAGCGCACACATTAACATTTGTTCGTTGGTTAATTGCCCGACCGTGTCGCTGATTCGATTAACTCATTATGCTGGTCAGTGCAATTAGCAATTGAAATTAGCCAGTAACAACACCACCACCTCTTTATCCCGCAAGACAGCCTCCGCAAAACAACGGAAGCAGACGAAATTCCTCCCTTCCCACCCAACGCACGATGATCTGTCGATGCGAGATGCGAGGTAATGGCATTTGGTTAATCAGCAACGAATTAGCACGCTGCCGCGTTCGCTGTTCCGCGTGGCGCTAAGACCGCCATGTTGGTCTTGCTAAGTAAATTGCCAAAGGGAGAATGGAATACAGATGAGCTATGCAGGCCGGAGGATGGTGTCAAAGTTTGTAATTAAACGAAGCCCGGCCCACGCAAGAAACCCTAGCTTTGATGGGGGAGGAGTAATATTTTGCGCAGCTGGCTCGTTTCATGATGCCATACGACATTCGTGCAACAAGGTGAATAACGAAAATATAAAATGCCGGGTTCGACCGCGCCCTACTTGTTCAACAGGGACAGTTTTGTGCTCTAAAATGCTTAGTTAACTGAGTAGACGCTAGAAACCTGACTCATGTATACAAAGAAGCAGAGTTCTGAATCGATCGCCTCTGGTGATTGGTGGAATAATGTCAATAGAACAGTATGCGCCAATATCGCAGACGGTGTATGGAATTGGATGGTGATCGTCCTTCTTAGGGTTCCTAATGTGTACATTTTCGTTAAAACAGTGTGAATGTGAGGACAATCGATACATTCTTTTTCAAAGCAAGCACCCTATCACCCATCTGTGACCTGCCTCAGCTCTCCACTCAATTAACTCTAAAAATTCGACTGAAAATCACTGCAGTTCGAGTACATTTTGAGGCGGAAAGCCCACCGGATATGAAAAGAACACTAATATTTGCACGTACTACTAACCGAAGGATCACATATTCCGGACGAAAGACCTGCAAAAAAGGTCGTTTTTCGCCATCTCCGCACCTCTTCTGCACATTAAAATAAATACTCCTTACCAATACAAGAAGAATCAGAATACCAGGTGTCAAGAACTGATGTTAACCACCTACTAGATTCGACTATTTGGAGGTGACCTATCAATTTCTACAATGCAAAACAAACATCTATGTCCACAAACGTCCCTTTGTGTTTTCAGAGACATTCGCTCTGGATACTCCCTCTCAAGGAAGACAGTTCGTATTTCAGAATTGGGACTACCTAACCAACTTATTTATTTTATCGAGGTAGTCGCGGGGATGACCATAAGTGAAGAACTAAATGATTGTTTTCGGACAACTTAGGACGTTCTGTACGTTCAATAGGTCAGCATGGTATGGGGAAATAACCCTAATAATAATCAGTCTTTTGGCCATAAAAATTCTCCTACCAGAAGTAGAAACACTAGGCTTTTTTCTTCGGTAATTCGGTTGTACAATCTCTAACAATTTACAACCTAAATCATCAACTCGTTACTCACATTTTATTTATTCCTGTAGGAATGAGCTCGGATGTTAACAATTTTATATATTGCAAGCAAATAGGAACATCCCATATTTATGCGCACCTATCAAATGAAAAGGTTTTAACTAATCTCAAAGTCGTGAAAAGGTGTGAAACGTAACGGGCGCACCGGAACTTCCCCTAACATTGCACCGATTATGATTTGTCAGTGAAGCTGTCATCAATAAATTGCTAAGCTCGATGGACAAACTATCAATGGGCGCCCGAAGATATGTAATTTCCGCCACCATATTCCTGAAGAACTTCAAGCCCTTTCCTAATAAAAAGTTGTATTTCGTCGCCATTTGAAATGTGAGGCAGAGATCTTTGGGAGTTAGCGTCAGAAAATTCTTTTCGGAACAGCGATGTGCTAAACATCGATCACAATGTTTTACGGATATGTATTATCGGATACCAACCCAGAGCTCATCAGCTTGGATCACACGAGATTCGCGGCATGGGTTATCAGAAGTCGGGAAATTCGAGCAGAAATCCAAAACTGTTCGGATATCGATGCCTTAGATGAAGCGGAACAAGCCGATCAATCTCCTATATTTGGTGGGAATCAGCGCACTAGTCTAGCATAATAATATTTCGTGATCAAACAGATCGGACAGAGTTAAGTGCTGTGAGGAAAACGTGGGTACCTTGTGAAGACTCTCATGGTTCGAAGATTCCTTGGACAGGGTACCACGAAAACGAAAGATGTCGATTGGGGTGGGGAAGCAAAGAGGTTAACAGAGGTAAAAGATTACCAGTGTATTTGTATCATTTAAAAAGTGCACCTTCGTCCACGTCTTTTTAAAGAGCATGGTTAATTTGTGAACAGTGCACGGAATTTTAGTACTCATAATAACGAAGTAGACTAATCCAAATTAGTCTATGGCAAGCACTGATACCACAAGGGCACTTGAGACTTCTTTATTTTCAGGATATCCTGACCCGCCTAAGCGAAACTGTGTCCCAATAAGCAACTATTTTGATGCATCCCATAGTTACTCCTCCTAAAATTTAATTCGTATCTTTCCTATCTCCAAGGTTATCAAATTTGCTTCTATGGATTTAAAGGCTGGAAAGCTGCAAGGTTTAGTCATGGAAGGTAGGTACAATGTCAAGCGATACTGAGGTTGGAAAAATAGTCATAAAGAAGCCTTGGAGTTCACTGAACTTACTTTGTATCTTTGTGAACTCTGCGTCTTTTAGTTGGGCCATCTCCGGCGAATACATTCCGTTCATAGGCGGAAAATAGTTACTCATCGTTACCGCGCATGTTGATTCATCGGTACTCTGAGAATTCCCGCTTGAAATCTGTGGTTGTTTCATCGCAACACTGTCTAACATTTGGGCTATTAGGTTTGTCCATTGGTGAACTGATCCTTTGAATTCATCCAGTACCCAGATAACCTCGATGCCTTCGCGGCAGGCCTGAACGTTGGAATGACATTCGCTGGTGCTGATCCAGTGGGTCGACTGCAGGGCGATAAAGAACCAGATTTGTGGACGTTTTGGCAGAAAACCATCTACATACGTCGTTTGTCAGCGATTAGGTGTGATTGGTCCCTAAACGCTACATTTTTTCCAGACTTGAACATCTTTTAAGCGGGTGTTAAAAGCAATTCCCTCAATGGATGGAGGCTAGAATTTTTCTGTTTTGAACTGTTTGATACTTGCTGCAGAGCGTAGCCGTGAATACCAGACATAGGATATTAGTTTCACTTTTCATTGACCACTGATGACGTTTTTGGTTGAAGCCTTATCCCATCCAAATCAAAAAATTACTTGTATGCTTTTTGAGATGGACTAATTGTAGAATAGGCTCTTTTGATGGTTGCTGAAAGGTCAAATTGGAGCCAAAAGACCGCCGACATAAGGGGTTGTAGGTAGTTAAATCTAGGTGGAAACATTCGGAATCTTCACAGAGAACGTGTTTTGATTTTGCGTTGTTTGATGATTTATCACACTCGACATCAGTTAGGAAGTATTTAGAGTTTATTCTCTCAACAAAATATAATTACATTGCCAATAACTTTATTACATAAGCTCGTGATTTATTTAAATAAAATTACGATAGAAACGCCTACCAGTTAGAGCGCACGGTAGGTTTTATTCAGTATTTGCGAATTTATCAATGGGAATTATCTGAACCAATAAAATTTACTTAGGGACAAGCTCATGGATAGCGTTGATGGGACGGTTGAAGTGTGATCATATCAGAGTAGCGTCAGCAATACAAATGGACCAAAGGCGATTATTACAAATGCAAATTCCTTTTTATGTCAGCACGCATATATATACTAACACTGAATTTTGAGAGCTACGATTGTCGTTAAGTTCCCCTTATTATTACCTACCACTTGTGAGGTCAAGCTGAAATTCCACACTTCCGCCCAAATAAATTCCACAGCATTTCGTCAATCTTTTATATTTATTGCTTAAATTTACCATGGTCTCAGTTGGAAATGGTTCTCACTTCTTCTCAATTATCATTATGAAAGCTTACGCTCTTTCGTAACCCAAATCAACTTTAATTCACATCCTGAGCATAGGGTTGGTATGAAGATATGCATTATTAACAGAAAATAACCGTAGTTTTAGGGCTATATCAAACTAACCAGAGTAACGTCATAGTCATTACCATGAGCTTGGAGTAGCTATTCATGTGGCAGCCGGTAATTTATCGATTAAATTATGCACGAAGTTTGCAAGGTCGAGCTGTAAGTTAAGGACTCATGATGATTGCCACCAATTAATGACCTCTTGCTTCGACATGGTGGTGCATCCTGTCCGGCTGTGAATAAAGAACGCTGATTATCCAAGGCCGCATGGTCTTTTGGGATGACTTGGACTTAATATTTCCTCTTCAAGGTTTAATCGCCTTATAATATTCCGCAGTACTTGACGTTTCTACTAGGTATTTGAAAGCTCTGTTGAATTATGGCAAAGGATTTATATCCTTTCTCACACAATGACCTTGCTTCGTTGTTAAAAACCACCAAGTAATGGTCCCTTAATTCATATATATTATCCAAATAATTTACAGGGTAACTATCAAGGTCAGAGCAACGAAAAACTAAGATCTGATGGCTTTACACAAGACTTTTCGTTGCGCACTCGGTCGGTCCACTTGGTAGGGGTATTTCAAAAATTAACTGGGCTAGCTTGATGGGCGTTGTTTTTCTCGTCATTCCACCGTATCGGCTAGAAACCCCTTTTAGGAACTGTATCAGTGCCCCTGTAGGTACAAGTAACAAACAGAAGATATCGCCAATCATATGAATGAGTTATGTAAATAGGAACTATGGAACGAGCAATTTACACTGTCTTTGCTCTGCTTGTATTCTGAATATGGTGATTTAGATCTCACATGTGGACGAGGGGCATAGTTTCTGTATTTGGTACGGTGTCACGCGGAGACTCACTTGACGCATGATTCTTTGTTGGTGTTCCAATGAATGCCAATGTGAAAGAGCTTTAGCCATCGTTTCAAACTGAAGCGTATCCTCGTACTCCTGGCCCGCCTCGTTTGAGCACCCGGAGAAACATCTGTACTCAACATGTACCTGAGTTAACATGTGGGACAATTTGCGTATTGTTTCACTAAATTTTCCCGAAACAGAAACAGGTCTGATTTCGTGATCCGAGTCCTCCACTGCAGCTGATTCTCGTAGCTTGTCCATGTATGTAAGGGACCATGTAGCAAGCTTGTTCCACAAAAAGCTCCGCGTACTTACCAACCAACTGAAAAGAGCCACCGCTCGTAAATGACGACTACACTGGCAGTGGATCCGAAACTTGTGTACAGATGTGGTTGAAACGTCGCAAGCCAAACAAAGCAGCTGAACGTTTGATGTTGAATGTACATTGTTTTGTCGTTGGACTTGTCCATTTTCAAAAAGCCGTATGAGTTCCAAATGACTTTGTGTTCCAGTACCACCTTTGTGATCAGAAACGTTTAGACCAAAAACACGTAACTGGTTTGCTGGGCCACCTTCGCACACATGTAACAGGAGGCTCAGCCGCTGCGAATGCTTCTCTGTCTTACAATGCAGTTGAAAATTTGCTTTCAGCGGACTTTTATAGGAGCACAGGCGACAGAGCCAAAAGCCACCAGAGTGGGTGGTGATGAATGGAGTCATATGGTTCTGATTTAGAGGTATGCGGATGCGTTCTGCATGCTTCAGCAATACATCCAATTTGTCAGTGGTGAATGCAAAGCAGACTTGGCAAGCGAACGGGTATGGTGATGACTCGGTGAGTTTTGCAACAAATTTTTCTGTGCTCAACGTGTCTTCGGAATTACAGTCAACCGATAATTTGGTCATATGTAAGTATCCGTTGTTAAATGCAGCAAAATCCTCTTCATCAGTTTCCGATGTCAATGACTCCCTGGGAAAAATGAACGAAGATTTGCCCGGTTCCCCGTTTCGACGTGGAACACATGGGTCACTGCTTCCGCAAGGGGAGATTGTGTCAACACTGGCCTTCTGGACATTTGACTGTAAGTGCGTCGAAGGCAACATGGAAAAAGCTGGATGAGTGTGTGTAGAGCATGTGGGGGTCTTTGTCACCGGTTTAACGCCTGTCTGCTCCAGCTCCTGTTGAATTAAGTTGATCACATTCGATTAGTATCGCATAAAACAAACACATTACCATGAAAAAAACTGCCCACAAGGTTGCTGAAGACTTCCCGACAGCCCACAACCAGTTTCGCCCTTCTTGAAGCTCATCCGGTAGTCGCACTCCCTTAGTTCCCGTCAAACTTATGCTATACTTGAACCCAAATTGGACCGATTGCGATAAATACACTCATTTGCAAACCATTTTGTTTTTCACGGGGACTGAATTGAATCTCTCGTTTAGTATGTTGCGTTTATCAAAGAATTAACTGTAGTGCAACGTACATCTACTTGCACAAAATCTATTTTAGCATAACTCCGTTTCGCTACACAACATGTTGCTCCTGTAGACAGTATTTTAGTTCATCATTTGTGATGAATTCAAATGCAAACACCGGTGTGGGGAAAATTCTTGAGGTTCTCAGACTAGACATTACGGGATAATTCAGCAAATTTACTGTCACAACCCTCAATAAACTGTGGAACCCCTCCTGGGGCTTCATGCAACTTGCTTCGCTAAAAATAATTTGGTATTCGAGTCCAGTTTCCTTTGTTGAGATGAGGCTTAAGTCAAGCCACAAGATTAACAAGGAACTGGGGGCTTGAATCGCTAAGTTAATTATCCAAAATATTGTAAAAGCCGAAAAATTATCACCATTTGTCTCCATTCTGGAGTTCATCCACCAAATTTTATGCAGTTCATCATCCGCTAGATGCAACACAATGCATAGCACTCAGCCAGAATTCATAAGGGCTGTGAATGGCAAATAGATTTATGTGTCAGGGGTTCTTGGGTCAACCTTACTGGCTTCATGTAAGTGTGGATGGCTCTTATCGAAGGAATGAATCCTGCCTAACAATCGAAATCTATTGCTTTGCGATTCGACAAGGGATGAATAACATGGCTAGTTCACACGACACAGGTGGGCAAAATTCATGTCGTGACAGGTCGATTTGATGCTTACTGGGCTAGCGTGATCTCGATCAAAAACACTCCTTAGGTGGTATTAAGAGCAACCGAATACGAGGTGAACCAACATGAGGAAACGCATGCGTATGAGATAGGGAAACAAATAACCTACCTGGACATTGTTTAAATGTTTGTCCGACTGTTGATGAATGGCCAAATTTCCCTTTGTCGTTGTCGAGTAATTGCATATTTCACATCGATATGGCTTGTAACCACAGACGTAAGCTTCTCCGCGTCCCAGTCGTGGGTGGTTAGACTTTGTCAGGCAGTATGGACACAATCTGTTGAAACTAGGTTGACTGTTGGCGCTGTTATTTCCGATGAATATTGTGAGGGGACTTTCGCTACTTTTGCAACGCACTAGCTCACTGGAGGCCATTGGGAACAAAAGTGCAGTGGCTGATAATGAAAGAGACAGGATTGAACACGTAAGTTGGTAAATCGGCTTTCTGAACGAAAAGTCGGAATTGGTGACAACATAACTTGTGCTGAAGTATGGGCACATAAATTTGGAACGTATTCGGAACAAATCTTGAGTGTTCTGAAATGGAGCGTCCGCTAAGAGATGAGGTACAGCATGTTTACTCACCTCGGCGTAGGTCAGCAATCAGGGTCTATTCCACTGCATTAGATTCATTCACTGTGGTTAACATATTCGGACCAGGAACATCCTTCACCATTTGCAAACACAGTACTATTTTGACTAGCTGTAAACGGACTATCAGTATATTTACTCTGTTAATTAAGCGTCATCGTCTTTTCCAACTCATCTCACCTAATAATAAACATTTGATGCAAAGCAGTCGGTCGCGGGATACAACGCTTTTAATCACGAATCCCCATCTGTTTTTTTCCTATTTATGTAGTCGCAATTAGTTTATCCAGTTGGTAAATTTTAGTGGACCTTCTCAGAGATGATTCTAGCATTTAGACCCTCAGACAAGGCATTTCAACTCACGTTAGTAATATCTTAGACCTATTCCCAAGACGCTTCAGAAACTCGTGTTTTCCATTACTCGGACAGCTTTTGCGCGCAAAACAACCCACTACAAAGAGTAAGTTGAAGGAAAAACTGGTCGCGAGAATAAAACAGATGAATGAGAATTGTCACGCCTTAAAAAAACCAACCAGTTAATCTTTGCTTACAAAACTACGGTCGCAACGTATAAAACCATTTTATTGAAATGTCTAAAATGAATGACGTACTTAGGAAATTTGTGGTGATTTTAAGGATGCAGTTCACCAGTGTTGCTCAACGTTTCCACACTATTTAACTTTATAATTAACTGAATCATACTTGCGACCTCATCCTAATAAAATACGATTGTGAGTAGTTGATTTCACGTGGGCAAGTGGTTTAAAGTGGATGTTGCTGCAGCGACCAGGGTCACTCAGTTATTTAGTCAGGCAGTTTATCAGCCATAAAGTGAATACCATGAGTTTGTTAATTCCAGCTGTTGCAGGCGTTATCGCCGGAAGTTTGGATAACGTATGGCATTGGTAGTATGTTCAGTTAACTCTGCTCTAAGAACTGAAGGCAATAGCTTTGATAAACGAGCGCCACTGGATGCATGATTGAGCAACGTATATTAGCATCATTTTCCCCTAGCGAGTTGAGTTCGAGGGCCACCGTTCAAGGAGAAGGAAGTTGTCGACTCGAGCTGACTTTGCCAGCAAGTGTTTTATTACTCCGCTGCTAAGTCATACACTGTCTGCTACTCGACTGTTCCCAATATACACATGGCTGGGTGAAAAGAGCTATGAGTGGTAGGTGGTGCTCTGGCGTACGGGGTACCAGCATAACTTATGAAGCGCGAGTAATTCATCTATCGCTGAAGTGTTCCCTCTTCCCATAACCACATGGTGCACTTTATTGTGCTTTGAATACACAATTCTTCAAAGATTAGCAGTTTTTGTACCTCCTTTAGGGATTAGAAGCTACATTTTTAATCCATAAAGAAGTATGGATCAGTATATACACTGCCCTCAACAGACAAACTGACGTCGCCTCGCTGACATAAGTGTGGCGGGTTTGCGAAACATCCACGGACATTCATGATTTAAGAAATAATCTCATCTCCAGCCAGTCCAGATTAGCACATTTATACACCGAATCCATTGGTTCTTTTGCAGCCATGTGATATGTGTTTGATTTCACCCAGCATTGTAGCAGTAATTTAAGCTGCAGATATGAAGCGATCAAATACCCTAGGAGCAGTTCGATCCACTACATTTTGGAGGCAGGCAGAACAAATTCAAGCGGTGACTCAAGCAGTAACGAAGTTGGAGAGAAATGATTAGGCATGTTGAGACAAGTTGAAGCACCATGGTGTGGAAGTATGGATAGAGACGCAAAAATTACTTTCTGACATTCTTCGTCCAGTTATATTATGGATAAATTACGTACGTTTGAGAAGTGATAGTTCGTAAAGTAAGGCACCTAACAGTCTCGAGTTGATCGGGAAAAGGCACGATACAATAAAAATTCACTTGAACGCCTTCCATAAAATACTGGAAAGGTTATATGATGGCTGCACTTACACCGAATAAGTGATTGTCTCGACTGACTAGACATGTCTTTACGATTATTTCACACATCAGTTTTGCTGACTGCACGAAAACCGCGATTTACAGGTCTTCTGCATTTACAAATATTTTTTATACCGCATTTATTTTCTTAAAAATTGAACTGCCTCCAAAAACGCTTCCAAGTGTGAGATTTTGTTTATTAGTGTTACAAACTGGGCTGTTTAGGTATGGGTCGACGAGCCAACTGCAAACAAGGTTCTCTATTTCGACTGCTCTAACACGGGGTTATCAAGAAACCCGTATGCCCAACTAAAGGGAGGTGGAATGTTCAGTGGTTTCTTCATTGAGTTTTCACATTGACATTCAATCCAATATATTCATCCGGTCTCGCGTAATTCACTGTTGGGTATGAAAAAACCCAACTCTTTCAACAGGGATCGCCAAATGCCGTCAGGTATCATGTCTGGATTTATCAGCCGAATATCGAGGTCGATGAAGGCCAAGTAATAGATCTATCCCCTTCGAAACTCTCTCATGAATCACTGAGGGGTTCTCAACCAAAAGGAAATGCAACTTTCTACCTTGTGGGCAAACAAGTGATTATGATGTGGTAGAAAATGATAAACAGCTCTGTTTCTTAATGCAAAAGTTGCTCTTAATAGTCACTCGAGGGTACCGGTAGGCGTGATGTTTCAGAAGTGTTCCGGGCACAGCTGCTTTGTGATGTGGCTTGAGCTGTCGCTCAAGTATTGAAATGATGGATGTAGTAGGTAAGTAGAACAAAATTAACGAACCTGAAAAATCTGCTCTGTGTAGAGTGAGTTCTTTAGTCTTCCCAGTGAAAATAAGGAGCATTATTCCAGCCCCAATGGTCACATAAAATTTCGGTGTGTGCCAAAGAGAAACGTGAAGTCTTAGTATGAAAGACTGCACTTTACCGCGTGGCAGCAGGACCTGTCAAATCCTACCTGAGACACGTTAACCGGCTGTTTAACTCCATTCGTTCATTCTTTTACTAACACAAACTTGCATTCAATAGCACAATGATTACTGCTTGGGCACAATATCCACAGCATTGATAAAAATTGGTCTTTGTTGCGGGAAATCCTTCCCTATTGTGTTTTGGTTTTTCTGAAGACGGCTATCGCTGAACAGTTTCAGAATATATCCAAGATATTTTAAATTTATTGCTTCCTCTTAGCATAGCTGACTGCGTCTTAACTGGTTTACACGGAAGAGCTTCGCCAAAATGTGTGAGCTGTAAACTATATCGCGTATGAAGTGGACCTTTAGCTGTCTTCATTTATGCATTTTGTCGGATCGGGTTAATTTACAGTTGGTATATATATATATATATATGATACATGTACGGCACAAGATATCACTACGGGTAGAATCACTCAGTGGGTTACAGCCCAAGTGAGAAAGGGGTGGCCGTTCTTCAGGGACCATCAGATAATAGACCAAACACCCAAAAGTAATAAGCCATCCAATAGTGTCCTTTTGTGAGAGGTGGTTTCACTGAGGTCTTACGTTATTAAACGAAGAAATGTTTTTATATAGCTCTGACTGGCTGATCCCAGGATTGTTTTATATTGTAGTAAGTTTACCGGTAAATCTATCCTACTGTTGCTGTTCATTCAGTGACATTTTTTCGGCGAAATGTATTGCCAGAATGCAAAATCGCGCAAACACGGTACTCATTTGACCACATACTTGGGAATCATATCAGATGAGGTGAGTTGCGATTTAGAAAAATCAGCCATCTAACAGAACGATATCTCTTTGAGAGGGACAAAACCCTTTATAGTCCTTGGGTACCCCTTGTGGTCATGCAGAATGCTCCTATTCCGTATGAGGTTTTCAACAATAAATCCTTGAGAAATCCAATAATTATCCGTAGTGTGAAATTTTCCTTACTGAAGGGCAATTCATTGAGTGTTTTTATTGTGTTTGATATCGCATCTTCATTTCCTAGATGAAGCCAAGCAGCATCCATTCCATAAACACTGCTTTTATGTTTAAACAGAGCTTACAGAAAAATCAAAAGCAGAAGCGATAGAGCGTTGCATTCAAATGACGTGAAAATATATTTTGTTGTGATTCGGTACGGTTTCTCTGTAAACGAATATTATCAACCTGTTTTATGTTGTACTCGGTTTCTACTTCGTTCATGTTTCGAAGTGTCAGGGCATAAAAAACGATAGTTTTACTGACCGCTTTGCTGAGCTCTTTCTCTTGCAGACTCTCATCCCCGCTAAAATTCCTTCCCAACAAGAATTACCGCTGCACTTGGTTTTATCGAGTGATGATGTCGATTGATCACTCGATCATGAGATGTTTATGAGATAAAAACGAGTACAATGGTCTCTGGTTTACGGTGGATTAGGGGATCATTTCTACTCATTAATTTAATCGCTTTGATGTATTATGGAAGCTATGCTGCCGGTGGTGAATTTCTTCCAGTGTTTGGGAAAGTTGAAGACGACCGAAAAAATACGTTTCATAACACGGAGATTAACAAGGCGCGTCACTAAAGAGAGAACATTACATCTTACGTTTATTACTTGCTGGTAGACGTGAATTTCGGTCGAACTAATCTACAGATAGTATATCTTGAAGCATGAAAAAGGTGGAACTTATTGCACCTGGCCAGCAGCGCGGTTGACCTCCTCAGCGAGGAACTTACCCATGAGGTCACCTGTCTGACCAGGGTTTCGTAGCGGTATCTGGGTCCATGGCCATCAATGTACCGTTTACTTAACCTTTAGGTTCCAGCATTTCGAACCTAACAATTTTGATACAATGGATTAAGTAGTTGGCACTTCACGTTTTCAGACGGAAACCCCGAACCCGAGTGCTCTTACGGT